CCACGTGGTAGCAGCTCTGCCTGAGCTTCTCAACTTATGGTCATGGGGGATTTCAACCTGCCGTCTTTGGGTGAGGCGTCTGAGGTGGCTCGGGAGTTCATGGCTTCCATGACGGCTATGGACCTAACCCAGTTAATTCATGGCCCTACACATGCGGGGGGAAACACGCTGGACTTGGTTTTTGTCTCTGGACAGTGGCTGAGTGAACTCGAGGTAGGGGATATAGTCATCGAGCCCTTGTCATGGTCGGATCACTCTCTCCTTCGCCTTGACCTTCGAATCGCTGCACCCCGCTGCAGGGAGGCGGAACTGACAAGATGGTACCGCCCCAGGCGCCTGATGGAACCTGATAGGTTCCAGATGGAGCTTGGGCCAATCCCCGAGGTTCTGGCTCACGCCTCGACTGGAGACCTAGAGGCCGCCTGGGATAGGGCGGCCGCTGGAGCTCTGGATCGAGTCGTGCCTTTGCAGCCTCTGACCCGGCGCCGATCTCACCTGGCTCCTTGGTTCACCGAGGAGCTAAGGGAGATGAAGCGCCGGAAAAGACGCCTAGAGAGTAGTTGGAGGGCCAGTCGTGCTGTATCTGACCGGACACTGGTAAGATCTCATATTAAGAATTACCTAGTGGCGATAAAAGCAGCAAAATGTACCCATTTCGCTGCTCTTATTGCATCATCAGACAATCGCCCGGCCGCCCTATTTAGGGTGACCCACTCCCTGCTCCACCCGGAAGCGCGGGAGGACCCCTTGGAGGGAAGAGTCGAGGATTTTGTTCAGTATCTGTATGACAAAATCACTCAGATTCAGGAAGATCTGGACTCCGACTGGGTAGATCCAGCGGGGATGACGGAGGCAGGTCCTGAGAACGTTATCTGGGATGAGTTTGATCCTGTGACCCCTGAGGACGTGGACAGGATTCTGGGTAGACTGAATGCGACATGTTTGTTGGACCCGTGCCCCTCCTGGTTAGTGCTGGCTTCCCAGGAGGTAACACGAGGCTGGCTCCAGGGGATTATAAATGCTTCATTGGGTGAGGGTGTCTTTCCCGCCGCCTTGAAAGAGGCGGTGGTGAGACCTCTCCTCAAGAAGCTTCCCTGGACCCGGCAGTATTGGCTAACTATCATCCAGTCTCCAACCTTCGCTTTGTGGCGAAGGTTGTCGAGAGTGTGGTTGCACAACAGCTCCCCCAGTACCTGGATGAAACGACGTATGTAGCTCCGTTCCAGTTGGGCTTCAGGCCTGGGTACAGCACGGAAACGGCATTGGTCGCGTTAGTGGATGATCTCTGGAGGGCTCGGGACAGGGGGTGCTCCTCTGTCCTGGTCCTGTTAGATCTCTCAGAGGCTTTTGATACCATCGACCATGGTATCATGCTGCACCGGTTGGAAGAGTTGGGGGCAGGAGGCATCGTATTACGGCGGTTCTCCTCTTTTCTCTCCGACCGGTCGCAGTCTGTGTTGACAGGGGGGCAGAGGTCGACCCCGAGGCCCCTTATATGTGGGGTGCCACAAGGATCGGTCCTCTCACCCCTTTTGTTCAACATTTATGTGAAGCCGCTGGGCGAGATCATCCATGGTTTCGGGGTGGAGTACCATCAGCACGCTGACGACACCCAGCTGTACATCTCCACCCCAGACCACCCCAACGATGCCCTTGAAGGGATGTCCCGGTGCCTGGAGGCCGTACGGATCTGGATGGGGAGAAACAGGCTCAGGCTCAACCCATCCAAGACTGAGTGGCTGTGGTTTCCGACGTCCCGATATAGTCAGCTGGTGTCATTGCTGACTATTGGGGGCGAATCATTGGCCCCCACGGAAAGGGCTCGCAACTTGGGTGTCCTCCTGGATTCACGGCTGTCTTTAGAAGAGCATTTGATGGCCGTGACCGGGAGGATTTTTCATCAGGTTCGCCTGATTCGCCAGTTGCGTCCCTTTCTAGATCGGGACTCCTTACGCACGGTCACTCATGCCCTCACCTCCCGTCTGGACTATTGTAACGCTCTCTACATGGGGCTCCCCTTGAGGAGCACTCGGAGGCTCCAACTGGCGCAGAGTGCGGCCGTGTGGGTGGTGACGGGAGCGACGTGGCACTCCCATGTAACACCTCTCCTGCGCGAGCTGCACTGGCTCCCGGTGGTCTTCCGAGTGCACTTCAAGGTTTTGGTTATCCCCTTTAGAGCGCTCCATGGCTTAGGACCTGGTTATTTACGGGACCGCCTGCTACCACCAATAGCCTCCCACCAACCAGTACGCTCCCATAGAGAGGGGTTCCTCCAGGTGCCGCTGGCCAAACAATGTCGACTGGCGGCCCCCAGTGGGAGAGCCTTCTCTGTGGGGGCACCTACTATCTGGAACAAGCTCCCCCCGGAGATACGGAGGATCCCGGATCTGCGTACCTTCCGTCGCGCGCTCAAGACCTTCCTATTTCATCAAGCCAGCCTGACTTTCCCCTTTTTAAATGGAAATTTTAAATTTGGTTTTAAATTATTGGGGTTTTAAATTTGTTCAGCCAAATTTATTTATTTTATTTTATTTTATTTTATTTCTATACCGCCCTACTCCCGAAGGACTCAGGGCGGTGCACAGCCAAACAATAAAATACATACATACAAAATTTAAAAGTGGAATTAAAATCAAATTAAATAGTTTTGGCCCAAACAAATTAAAACCCCAATCAATTTAAAACCAATTTTAAAATTTGAATATATAAAATACTAAAAAATATTAAAAATTTAAAAATCTTTTATAAAAGAGGGAGAAAATTAGGCCAGGCCCGCCTGGTGAAATAAAAAGGTCTTTAAGGCGCGGCGGAAGGTGCTCAGATCCGGGATTCTCCATATCTCCGGGGAGAGCTCGTTCCAGATAGTAGGTGCCCCCACAGAGAAGGCTCTCCCCTTGGGGGCCGCCAGTCGGCATTGTTTGGCCGACGGCACCCGGAGGAGCCCCTCTCTGTGGGAGCGTACCGGCTGGTGGGAGGCTATTGGTGGTAGTAGGCGGTCCAGTTGGAGCCTCCGGGTGCTCCTCAAGGGGAGCCCCATGTAGAGAGCGTTACAATAGTCCAGGCGGGAGGTGACGAGGGCATGAGTGACTATGCGTAACGAGTCCCGATCCAGAAAGGGACGCAACTGGCGGATCAGGCGAACTTGATGAAAAATCCTCCTGGTCACGGCCGTCAAGTGCTCTTCTAAGACAGCCATGAATCCAGGAGGACGGCCAAGTTGCGAACCCTCTCCGTGGGGGCCAGCGATTCACCCCCAATAGTCAGCGATGGCATCAACTGACTATATCGGGACGTCGGAAACCACAGCCATTCGGTCCTGGATGGGTTGAGCCTGAGCCTGTTTCTCCCCATCCAGATCCGCACAGCCTCCAGGCACCGGGACATCACTTCAAGGGCATCGTTGGGGTGGAGATGTACAGCTGGGTGTCATCAGCGTACTGGTGGTACTTCACCCTGAAACCACGGATGATCTCGCCCAGCGGCTTCACATAAATGTTCAACAGGAGGGGCGAGAGGACCGACCCTTGCGGCACCCCGCATATGAGGGGCCTCTGGGTCGACCTCTGCCCCCCTGTCAACACAGACTGCAACCGGTCAGAGAGAAAGGAGGAGAACCACTGCAACACAGTGCCTCCCACCCCTAACTCTTCCAACCGGTGCAGCATACCATGGTCGAGGGTATCAAAAGCCGCTGAGAGATCTAACAGGACTAGGACAGAGGAGCAACCCCTGTCCCGAGCCCTCCAGAGATCATCTACCAACGCGACCAATGCCGTTTCCGTGCTGTACCCGGGCCTGAAGCCCGACTGGAACGGATCCAGATACGATGTTTCATCCAGGTGCTGAGGGAACTGATGCGCAACCACACTCTCAACAACCTTCGCCACAAAGCGAAGGTTGGAGACCGGACGATAGTTTACCAATATTGCTGGGTCCAGGGAAGGCTTCTTGAGGAGAGGCCTCACCACCACCTCTTTAATTCGTTTTAGTCTATTTTAAATTTTGTATTTATATGTTTTATTCTATAGCTGTTCACCGCCCTGAGTCCTTCGGGAGTAGGGCGGTATACAAATTCAATAAAATAAATAAATAAATAAAATATTCCTTGTCAAGGTTATGGATACTAGTTGCCATTTAAAAGAGGTATAACATAGATTCGATGAAAAGAGGAATATATATGAAATATTGATTGTTAAAATGACAAAGATTTGGAATGATGTCTATTTGGAAATAATTGTTTAGAATTTAGGGCGACATAGTAGAATGTTTTAAAATTTAAATGTTTTGAATAAGATTTTTTTTCTTTTTTTTTTTAAAGAGGTAATGGATAAAATTTGGAACAAAACTGGTTGACGGAATGTAAGTAATTGTATTTGCTTTATGTAAGTAATTGTATTTGCTTTATACCGGATCAAATTCTTGCTCTAAAAAGATGTATTTTATGGTTTTTGTTTTAAAAATAAAAATAAAAAAATTCAAAAAAAAAAACCCTTCCTTCCAGCAGCTGCTTCTTGGCTTGTCAATTTAAAGCGATGGTATCTTTTTTTTTTCTTCTTTGTCAAGTGAGCCCTGATTTTTTCCTTCTAGCCGATTACCTGGGAGTCGGGAGGCAGCGAATAGATTGGGGGCGGGGCCAGGCAGAGGTGGTATTTACCGGTTCTCCGAACTACTCAAAATTTCCACTACCGGGGAGAACTGGTAGCAACCCACCACTGCTGTAAAAGCACTGTGAAGTGGTATATAAGTCTAAGTGCTATTGCTATTTGTGTGCATGTACGTGGATGCACTACACATGCCTTTGCAGTGGACAACTCCTTGGACAAGTCTTTGTAATTTTCTTGTAGGGTGATTTGCCCTTGCTTCCTTCTTCCTGGACTAAGAGAGCGACTGGCCCAGCCCCCCCCCTCCCCAAAGATACTGGTGATACTGGTGAGATAGCAGGCAACCACCAGACATGCATCACAGCCAGCATAAATGACCTTACCAAATATAATACTAACCAGAAAATAATCTCGGAAGAACTCGGGCAGCTCCATGCTGATGATGTCATTATCCAGAGGGAGGAGGGAGAAGGACCACTCATCCCAGGTCACATCTAGAGGATCAGAGATATTGTTTGGAAGCCTATTCTCTTATCTGCCTTTCACAATCTGAGTGAATAGTCAGAGGTTTGAGTCTAGAGGAAGAGAGACCAGCAGAATCATCACCTCCCATCTATTTCCAAGCCCCTTCTCCCTGTACTTTTGGGCTGAACAGCCGCATCCAGCTGTCATGCACTGGGCCTAGGTCTCGAGACTTACCACCATAGATCCCTTCCTCCTCCAACACCAACTCACATGTGTAGAACTGCAGAAGAAGACAGCCAACTTCAGGTAACCATGAAAGTGCCATACTTGGAAGCCTCAAGGACCTTAAGGGCTTCGTAATCTTTCCTGGCCAAGGGGCCTCTATGGCACAAACCTCCTTTACCAGTTGAGGCTCAATAATTCAGGCAAGGATAACTGCACTGGTGGTGTGTGGTGCCATCTTCAAGACAGTCAGAACATTTCTTCAGGCCTTAACCTGAAGATTGTTCCTGGAATCTCATATTTTTCTGAATTTGGGGCTTTAAGTTTTTAAGGCAGAAGTGGGGAACTCTGCCCCCTTTTTGACTTGTGGACTTAAACTCCCAGAATTCCTGAGCCAGCATGGGAGTTGAAGTTCATAAATCATAAAAGGGCCATAGTTCCCCACCCATTTTAAAGAAACATAGAAAGGGAAAGCTATCCCACTTTTCCTGGGCATCACAACAGCCTCTGAAACTCACATGTGCATGCAACCTCAAAGAAACCACTCTACCAATGTCACTGGAATCCCAAGCTGAACTGACAAACTGAACGCAATGGGGGGGGGGGGGGGGGGGGGGGGGGGGGGGGAGGATAAACCAGCACAGGTTGAAACCTCTCTTTCCATCTCAATGAATAGAGGTGGGGAAGAAAACTTTTTCCAAGTGGAATAGTGCAATGCTTCTGTTATTCCGCATCCGTTATAAGTTTCTCACAAAAAGTTGATGCTCTAATTCGAAGTACCTACTTGATGGGCCAGAGGTTTTGAGGACAGGAAACTGAAACCACTTCTGCCCCCAACTTTTAGGTAATCTGCCCTGGAATGGGAAAGGGGGATTCTGCTAGGAGGCAGCAGGAGTCTGTTGTACTTAAATGTGATCTGACATGCTGACCAATATCTCTACAAAGCTCAAGCCCATGGTGACCCCCCCCCGCAAAGGTGCACCAGGCTTACCCAACACTTTTCGCTATCTGCCCCCCTCACCACCACCAGCGAGCCTCACCTTCTGTGGGCTGAAGATGATCTTGTACTTGCGTGCCCGACCCACTGCTTTGTCGGCATTGATCAATTCTGCAAGGAGCACTGAGTCAGTCACGCCTTCATGGGACCCCTCCACCCCCCTAGGAGGCACTCCCTGCCACTCACCTGCCACCAGCCGGAGACTCGCAAGGCGTGGACGGAGCAGGAAGCATAACCTGGGGGGAAGGGCAGGCTGCGGTCAGGGGGACACGGGTGGAGTGCCTCCCAGCTTCCCCCCAGCCCACTCACTGGTCACTGGAGCTGTGTGCTGGTTTCTTCTCCAGCTTGTAGAGCTTGTGCACGTCATGCTGCTGCGCGGAGAGACGAACATGATCGAATGCAGGAGGGAACAAAGGAGGTACCCCCATGGATCAGAATGGGATGTTTAGGTACGGATCCTTGGCTACACCTCTTTTGCCACCCACCTCAAGCCCATTTACATCCAGATTTCCTCCTCCCCTGGCCATTCTCCATGGCCAATGCCTTCCTGGCTCTCCATCCTCACCCTTAGTTCCTGCCTAGTCACCCTTTTACTCTGGCCTTCGGGGTCAAATAGCCCCCAGCCAATCAGGTGGCAGGCAGAAACAATGGTGCTATGAGAGCAGCATATGATGGGTGATCGGAGGGGCTGGGGGGGGAACATGTGATGCAAGATTTTTTTTTACGTGTAAAAGTATCCCTTGGTGGACCAGAGGGAGGAGGAGTGGCGCCGCAAGAGCCACTGTGGGGTGGGGGTGGGGGGCGCATAGGTGAGTGTGTGTGTTGAGGAGGGAGGGAGGGAGGGGCGCCTCAAGGGAGCTTCACAAAGATGGCTTAGCTCATAACTCAGTCAACTCCAATTAAAGGAGGGAGGAGGAGCAAGACTGGTATGGCTTCTGGTGCTGCGTGGGGGACAGGCAAAACAGTGATTTGCTTTTTATCATTTGCCAGGCTAGCAAAAGGAGGAACATTTTGCAAAAGAGTGATTTACAGTAATCAGTTGGAATACTTGTTCCTACCCAAATGCTTTCTTTTGTAAAAGGAAGGAACCTTTCTTTCACTCATTGAACCTGAAATTACAAAAACTAAGATAGCAGCTTGGGGGGAAGCCGCCATTGCCACTTTGGCATGACACCTAACAGGCAGTTCGCCCCCCCCCGCCCCATGCACCATCTCCATTCGCCTGCCTCCCCCCCCACTCCCATCAGTGTTGGGATTCCATCGGTTCTACCTGGTTCAGGTGAACTGGTAGTGGAGGCGGCGGGAGGCTCTGCCTACCTGCCTGGACATCATTACAGACGTTCTGTGTATGCGCAGAGGTGGCGCGCGCACTCACATCTGCAAACCAGTAGTGAAGGTAAGTGAATACCACTACTGACCCCCACCTTCTGTAACACAAGGAGCTGCGCCTCCCTCCTTTAGTTGGAGCTGACTGTTGCAAGCCAAGCTGTCTTTGCGAAGCTCCCTTGAGGCACCCCTCCCTCCCTTCCTCCCCAACACACACTCACCTATGCACCCCCCACTCCTCCCGCTGCCACTCCCCCTCCCCTCCAGTCCTGGTGACGGATCCGGATGCTTTTGCACTTTAAAAAAAATCTTGCATCACATGCCACCCCCCCCCCAGCCCTTGCAATCACCCATCACCAACTGCACACTGCCACCAGAAGGCCATTGCACCTGCCTGCCACCCGATTGCCTGGGGGCCACTGTCCCGTGCAGCCAAAGGATGTCTGGGCGAATGGGCAGGGACGAAGGCTGGGATCCACTGGCCGTGGGGGGAGGGCCAGCGGAGGAGGAAAGCTGGTTGTGAGGGGGCTGAGGAGGGTGGCTGCAGACGGCGCGGCCAAAGATGGGAGCCTGAAGCTCCCAGGCCCCTCGCGGACCCACCTTCAGGATGGAGACGTTGGCGATGCGGTCCAGCGGGCTCATGAGGTCGGCCTCCAGGAAGAGGTCCTTCTTGCCGGGCAGCTGCGGAACCGAGAATCGGGTCAGGGCCGCCCCTCGCGTCCCGCCCGCGCCCGCGCCCGCACCCACCTGCTCGAGGAGGTAGACCAGCTGGTCCCGCGCCAGACGCTTCAGCAGGCCGAAGTCCGGCAGGTCGGGGGGGCCCCGGGAGGCCATGGCGGTGGCGCCCGAACCCCTCCCGGAAGCGGGCGGTCCGCGGCTCCGGAGCTTCCGCCGCGACGCTTCCGGGCTAGCGCGCGACGCCCCTGGCAGCCAGCAGGCGCCACAGGGGCTCCTCCAACGCCGGGCAGCTCCCGCGGAGGGCGTCGGCCACGCGCGCGGCCCAGGCGAAGTACTCGCGCACGCGCTGCTCAGACCAGTCCTCGGGCGCGCGCCGGTCCAGGTCGCGCAGGTTGTGCAGCTTGTCGGCCAGCGCCACCAGCCGCGCGCCCGCGCTCAGCCCCGCCGCGCGCTCCACCTGCAGCCGCTTCCGCTCGGTCCGGGGCAGCGCCTTGTCATCGGTCAGCTCCTCCACCAGGCGCCGCACCCCCGGCCCGAAGCGCTGCTCGAGCTCCGCGAAGGTGGCGTCCGTGTCCTCCACTGTGTCGTGCAGCAGCGCGGCCTGCGGGACGAGGGAGGCTCAGCGTCCGCCGGGAGCTCCCCCCCCCCTCGCCGCCGCCGGCCGGCCGGCTCACCTGCAGCACCGCGACGTCGGTCACGCCGGCCTCCTGCGCCAGGATCTGCGCCACGCCTGCGGGGGAGAGCATGAGGGGCAGAGTTAGCCCCCCCCCGCGCCGCCCGCCTCGCGCCCGCCTCGCGCCCCGCCTCACCGATGGGGTGGTTGATGTAGGGCGTCCGCTCCGGGTCCTTGCGCCGCTGCGCCGAGTGCTTGCGGGCCGCGAAATCGACGGCGTCCAGCAACCGCGCTGCCTCGCTGCCGCTCATGGCCGGGCTCGGTCCCGGCGGAGGGGGCCGGAAATCCGGGCATCGGGGCCCCCAACCGACTCCGCCTGGCGCGGGGACGCCGATCTCCGTCGCCAGGGTCTGCCAGGGGCCTTCGGGGGCGTGTACCGCCTCGCCCGCGGCGTCTCCCCGAGGCCCGCGAAAGCTTCCAGCCGCAGGCGAAGCCTCGCTCCGTGCCGTTTCTGTCCGGGGCCGCGGCGGAATGAAGGCCGCCCTCGGAAGAGAGAGGAGCGGCGCAGGATCGCCTTCGCCCTCTTTATTTCGGCTGCATCGCGCTATTGGCCGGTTGCCTCTCGGCCCTCACACGGCGGTGGTTGTAGGGAAAATAGGATTAGGTAAATTAGCCACGCTGAGGTATATAGAAGACGCGGGGTAATAATTATTGTCCCTTTCCCCACCGAAGCAGCCCTGTGCCTAGAATTCAAAGTCCGCTGGTTTCTAAGCCAGCACCATAACCAAACTGCCCAAGCCGGTGAAAGAGAGAGTGAAAGCCCTGGTTTACAAGGAGAAAAAGATGCGGTTTGGTCTTCTCCAGGTGTTGCCGTTACAATTCCTGTTACCTTGGGACACAAATTCATACAGGTAGTTCTCAATTTATGACCATTTAGCCCCAAAATTTCTGTTGCTAAGCAAGAGAGTTGTTAAGTGACTTTTGCCCCATTTTATGACATTTCTTGCCACAGTTGTTAAGTAAATCTGGCTTCCCCATTGACTTTGTTGTCAGGTCGCAAAAAGTGATATGACTTAAATGATCAGATGGTTATAAGTCACTTTTTTCAGTTTTGTAACTTCAGTCACTAAACAAATGGTTGTAAGTCAGACTAGTTGTAGTACTTTCTGCCTATTGCTTAATCTTATATCTTATAAACTGATAATCTTAATCTTATAAAATGATAGTTATACTATCCTGCCAGATATTTCTCCCATCTTTGTGTCATTTGTAAACTTAAATATTTTCACTGTTGCACATAAAGAGCAGGGATCCAACCCAAAGCTCCCTTTTTATAAACTTTATAAAAAGCTTTTTATTAATAATACAAAATTAAAAAAACATTGGACATAGATATGACATCACTGGTTCCATACATCTTCTGTCACTTTACAATAATATTAGTACTCATATAAACATAATTCTTAAGCTTTGTTCACTAAGCATAATATATTAATACTTTTTCCCTTATTTCTGTATATTTATCTCTTAAACATACATTTATCTATAATAGCATCTATATTTTTGTTCTAACACTATGCATTTGTCTTGGATACCCTCTTGTTATCTACCCAATCATAAAATTGTTCCCAGATTTTGTAGTACTTAGTTTCGCTTTTATCCTTGAGTTCCAAAGTAAGTCTGTCCATTTCTGCGCAGTTAAAGATTTTCAGTAATTTTTCCTCTTCAGTTGGAATATCTTTCTCTTTCCATTTTTGAGCGAAGGCTATTCGTGCCACTGTGACTATATGCAATAATAAATAATTTGTATCTTTCTTATATTTTCTTTCTATAATTCTCAATAAGAAAAATTCTGGTTTGACCTTTATATCTGTTAGCAAAATTTCTTCCAGCCAGTACTTCAGTAAATTCCAAAATTTCTGCGCCTTTGGGCATTCCCACCACATGTGGTAGTAATTCCCAACCGTCTCTCCACACTTCCAGCATATCGAGGATTTCCCCTTATTCATTCGTGCTAATCTTGTAGGTGCCACCTATAGAACATCTTATAGAGGTTTTCCTTGTAGGAAGTTGCTAGTGTGATTTTTAAATTTTTTCCTGTAAACTTTGCCAATTGTCCAAATCGATATTGTGCCCAAAATATTTACACCAAATATCATCGTTTCTTTCACCTGTTCCTCAATCATATCTTGTTCTAATAAATATCGATATAGTTTACTTATGGTCTTGCCTCCCCTGCTAAATAAAATTTTATCTAATTCTGATGATTCTTGCTTTATGCCCCATTCCTTTTTATCTTTGCTAAATTTAGTTTGAATTTGGAGATACGCCCACCATTCCAATTTGATTCCTTCTTCCTTTAAAGTATTTCTCGCTTTTAATTCTCCTTTCTCATTCAAAATATCTTTATAGGTGACAGCTCCCCCTCATTTTGTCAAATTTGGATGTGTGTATATTTCTAATGTTGACACCCAATTAGGAATTTCCATATAATTATTTCCTTTTATTTTTTTCCAAATATCCAGTAGAGCTCTCCTAATATAATGGCTCCGGAAGTACTGATGGGCTAAATGTTTTTCCTCCCATAGAATAGCGTGCCAACCTGTCTGTAGGTCATGACCTTCTAGTGCTAATAGTCTTGTGTTTTTAAGATGCATCCACTCTCTTAGCCAAACCAATGCCACTGCCTGATAATACTTTGTACAGTCTGATAGACCGAATCCTCCTCTTTCTCTATCATCTTGTAATAATTTGAATCTGATTCTCGGTCGCCAAAGCTGCCTGTGTCTTGATGCATGATTTCGCCTCATTGGAACAGTTGGTCAGCTGTGCGTCCACCTAATGAGGGCAAGGCCAGCATTCTGCATTTGCCTGTCTCTGTTAAATTCTTTGGGAGGTTCTGCTGAGATCCATATGGATATGTCAGCCACACTGAAACAGCCGGTTGTTGGGCTTGGCAGACATTATTCCTGATTTATTTTATTGACTTTATTTCAGCAGCCTCTTGCTGAGCAGATGCTCCCAATGCAACCTGTCTGTGGCTCACTGGTCCTTTCTGAAACTAGCAGCATCTGCCTTTTGCCAATTTTCTGGAATCCTTCAGGCTCCAGAAAGGGATACAAGTGGCATCTCTGCAGATCTCTTCAGATGTAGGTCCTGAAAGTTGAACATTGTTTGCAGCAGCGTGATGCTCCCTGGCCATCCCTTCCTTGACCCTCCTTTCTTCCTGTTTCCTCCTTCCTCCTTGGCAGTTAGCCCCTTTTACTACTTGAGCTCCCTCCCCAACCTCTTCTTGTTTTCAGCTTCCCTTGAGAGCATTTCTGACTTACTTTCTCCAGCTATGACAACGCCTGGACATTGTCTTAATGATTATATGGACCTTCCTTTTCTATTCACACCATGCTTCATTCTTAACTTCAGTTGAATGAGCCTCAGGCATCCTTGATTGCCCTTTTCCTCCAAATTGAAGGGTGATTTTCTTCCAGTACCCAATTCATTTACTTATTTATTTCCCGCCTTTATTTCTGCAAACAACTTAAGGCAGTGAACATATCCAACACACTTTCCTCCTCCACTTTTTCCCACACAATAACAACCCTGTAAGGTGGGTTGGGCTGAGAAGGACAGGCCAAAAATGTCACCTAGTTGGCTTTCATGGTTAAGGCAGGATTTGAACTTCTTCCCAGCCTGTTCATGCTCTCTTTGGATTTCTGTGCATGAGATCCCACCTACAATTTCTCCAAGCTCTTCTGAAATCTAACCTTTGTGTGGTGACCATCCTCCATATTTCTCTTTCTGTGGAACAATTGAAGGACACAGTCCTTTCCTCCAGCTTTTCCCAGCTCTCCCCTGCTGTTTAGGATCAGGCCTGAAGGGTCAAGTCTCCTTGTCTCTTCTCTGAGGACTCTGAGGGATTTTGCAGTCTTGATTTGACTTTAGAAGATACTCCTAATGGGTGACCTTCTGTTATTTCTTTTCTTCTCTGAATGACCTGGCCTGGGGAGCATTATCCAAATCTGACTGCCTAGATGGCACCCCACAATAGTTTTGCTTTTTGTATTCTTACTCAAATGTTCTCAGCTGGATTTCTTTCTCAAAGAAATAGATCAATTCGCTGGGGCCCAGGGTTGGGAGTGGGTCCGGTGCCCTCACTGGGGCTTCTACAGGCTATGAAAGAAAGAGAATGTGTGAAATTGGAAGGGATCATCAAAATTGCTCCTCCTGGGTGGGAAGAGAAATAGCCCCAGATGTGACTCCAAGAACCACAATAATCAACGCAAGGAAGGAAATGGAAAGGCTGGTCAGGAACACCTTCCAATTCCAGACACGGAGGATGGTCATAATCTGAAGAGGAAATGCAGGAATGATCCAGGGAGGAAGGCAAGTGGGAAATTGGCAGACTATGAATCTTGCAGGGGGCTACCAAAGGTTGCTTCTGGTTTATGAAAGACCAATGTGGATAAAACCATGCAGAAGTGGAAACAGTAAAAATCCTGTGACCAGATTACACTGGACACCTTTCAGGAGAGGAGAGGTGGTTGCAGGGGAACTCCTTTTGATTTGAGATTCCTGGAGGCAGTCTGTGTGCAAAGGGAATTAGCTTCCCTAACCTGCTCCTGACTTGCCATAGGCAGGGGGATGGGGAATCAGGCCTCACAGCTTCATTGAGGAATTTGCACCTCAATCAAAACAAAGCACATCCTAGCCAGCCAAAGTCAAAGCCATCTTCACAGAAACCAGTAACAGCCGGAGGTAGTGACTTCTATGACCTGCAAAATTGTTTCGTTGGGGAATGTGACTGATAACACACCTTGGGGGGGGGGAAACAGGGTCATAGGCAAGGCGTGAACTGAGTGGGGTCAGAGCTGGCTTCACTTGGTCCATGTCGGCATGTTGCTTCTAATAACTGGATTTTTCTTCAAACTTCGCTTGAGGCTCCTGCTTTCATTAGCGCATCGGTCGGGACCTTGACAGCAACCAGCTCTGCCAAAACTAACCAAGACAACCGGGATTCCTGAGCCCCGGACTCTCCACCTGCTCTCCGATACCTAGGGTAGGTGGAGAGAAACTCAGGCCACTATGGCAGAGGGTGGAATATCCAAAGAAAGCCTGCTCCTGGCAACCGAGAAGGAGGCAGAACCTACCCCCACCCAGGGACCTCCAGGAGCCAGCAGCTCAAGCGGAACTCAACTGCAACTGTCGCTGACCACGGAAGCCGAGACGCCCAGGGTGCCTGTCTCAGTGATCGAAGCAGAAAGGGATGAGTATTGGTGGAAGAGTAAAGCAGTCGAGGTCGGTGCAACCTCGGGTGCCCCCCCCCCAGTTCCCTTCGCCTGGGGCAATGCATAAGTGAGCAAGAAAGACTAGAGTGGATGAAGGAGTGGGAAGTGGTGAGAGCCCCATTTCCTCTAGTGGGAGCCCCAGGTAAATCCTTAGATTGAGGGAGGAATTTGACTAAACCACCCTTCGCAATGAGGGGCTGTCATGCCACCCAAAAGGAAGGGGAAAAGAGATGGGTGCAATCGATCCCCATGAAGTGAGGAGAAGCCCCAACCAACCCGCCAAGCTCCGATTAGCCAGCCCTAAGTTT